ATGCAATGTATGCGACTCAACATGAATGTAATAACACACTCAGTTAACAACATCTCAAAACACATCTCAAAACACATCTCAAAACAACATCATCTCAATCATCTCAAAACGACAACATCTCAGTCATCTCAAATAACAACATCTCAATCATCTCGGAACAACATCTCAAAATAATTTATTAAACATTACTTATTTATAAAACATCATCTGTTCATCATAAATTATCAAACACCACTTTAATAACCACATATTACTAATAACTCAACTGTATATTATTACTACAGTAATCAATACTGTTATTCTACAGTTCTACTTCGTTTATGTCATTAATCCTACTGTCATATTTCTAACAGCAGTCTCTAACATCTCAAAATTCATCATTCTGTCCAAAATCCAGCATAACGGTCATCTACGGGAATTAATTCTAAATCCTAAATTGGTTAATGGGATTACACTTCTTTTTCATCATTTTAATCCTCTAGAATAGAGTTCATCGCGTTAGCTAATCAACGCTTTGAACGACATCTCAAACAACATCCTACAACTCAAGTTACAACAATTCAAAACTGATTCTGTCAAAAATTATTCAGTATGGGTCGACACAAAACCCCTTAGATCGACTCATCCTGCTTCATACGTATACTATGAGTCGACACATCCTCTTTTGGATCGACTCATCCTAGTTTTCAATACAGCATGTATCGACACATGCACTTTTCGTGTCGACTCATCCTGAGTCTTATACTCATCATGCATCGACACATCCTCTCTTCGCGTCGACTCATCCTGAGTCTTATACTTAACATGTATCGACGCAAGCCCTGCATGCATCGACTCATCATGAGTCCAACAACCTCCTTTATGCGTTTTCTACTGTATTTTGCTACGGGAATCATACTACATCCCTAAAAACCTTATCATAACCATGATAATTCATCACTTAACATTAACTTACAATACTACATCGATTACACAACATCATAACATCATTTATCCATCGAGAATTCATCAATATTCATCATACATCATTCAATTCAATAACAAAAACAACAATCTTCTAACCCCACATATCAAACATCATGAACCCAATTATAAAGCCAGAACCCCACCCTTACCTTGGATCGAAGGTCGCTCTACAATTTCCGGGTTGAATCTTCGTTCTTGTCGTTTCCTTCAAAATCCAGCAGCTTCACGTTCTCCTCAAATCCTTATTTTCTCTTCTTACTGCTTCCTCCTTCTACTCTTTCACACAAAATAATAAAATAACCTAATATTATTATGTTATTCCTTATTGGGCTTAAAACCTACACCCCCTTATTACTTCCACTCACACCATATAGGCCTACATTAAATAATATTAGCTTCTAACATTATTTCACCACATAATAATATAATACCTCAAATATATTATTATTTCTCCATTTAATAAAATAAATCCAATTTAATAATACTTCTTCACAATTATTCCAAAAATAATTTAATTAAATAATTAATTAAATTACGGGCGTTACACAAGTTGTGGCTTATGCTTATAGATAATTGAAGGTTCATGAGAGGAACTATCCTACGTATAATTTAGAGTTGGCAGGTGCAATTTTTGTTCTTAAGGTTTGGAGACATTATTTGTTTGTTTCTAGATTTGAAGTGTTCAACGACCACAAGAGTCTGAGGGTATGTTTGAATTGATGGAAAGGGATGAATTGTAACGAAATGAAGTGGAATAATATCATATTCCATTATTTGATTTTACAAAAAATGAATGGAATGAAATGGAATATGATGAAATTCATTCCATCTAATACCATAATTTTAGTTCATTTTTCATTCCACCCAAATTGGGGTGTATCCAATAAAATAGAATAAATTAGTAACATAATTACAAATTTGTCCTCCAAATTTTCACTTTATTATACTAATGTTTTTTTAGTAAAGGACAAAAATGGAATAAAAAGATTGTAACGTTTTCCACTCCGTTCAATTTATAAACCGTGGAATGGGATATTAGTTTCGTTCCATCGTGAAATATCCAAACAATGAAATGAAGTTTATGTTTTGTTTCATTCCATTCTGTTTATTCTATTATGTTCCATTATGTTCCACTCCGTTAGTTTTAAGTTATCCAAACATATCTTGAAGTATTTATTTGATCAGAAGGAATTGAATATGAGGCATAAGAGGTGGCTTAAATTTCTGAAGGATTAATATTTTAGTTTGAGTTACCATATAGGTAAAGCAAATGTTATAGTTGATGCTTTGAGCAGAAAGTCTTTACATAAGTCGATGTTGATGGTTCGAGAATCGGAGTTGATTGGACAATTTAGGGATCTTAGTTTAGGGTGTGAATTGACTCATAACATTGAGAAGTTAGGTGTGTTAAAGATTATTAGAGGCATTCTTGAAGAAACCAGAGAAGATCATTGGATCGACTTGGAATTGACTGACCTGTTGGTGTTAATCAATCAAGGTAAAATAGTTGATTTTAGAATTGATGAAAATGGTGTTATGAGATTCAACGACAAAGTTTGTGTTCCAAATGTACCAGAACTTAAGAAGAGTATTCTTGAGGAGGTTCACATAAGTGGGTTGATTATTCATCTCGGTGCTACTAAAATGTATCAAGACTCAAACAAGATATTTTGGTGGCCCGGATGAAGAAAGATATTGCTACATTTGTGTATTCATGCTTGACTTGTCAGAAGTCGAAGATTGAACATCGAAAGTCGTCTGGATTGATGCAACCATTGAATATTCTAAAGTGGAAATGAAATAATATTTATATGGATTTTGTGACGAATTTTATGAAGACTTCCAAGGGGAATGATTCAATTTGGGTTGTAATGGATAGATTGACTAAACCGACTCATTTTATTCCGATAAATATAAGTTATTCATTGTAGAACTTAGTTGAAGAGTATATTGAGAAGATTGTCAAGTTACATGGTATTCCTTTTAGTATTGTTTCTGATAGTGATCCGAGATTTACATCGAGGTTCTGGGAGAGTTTGCAGGAAGCTATGGGTACTAAACTAAAGTTGAGTTTTGCTTATCATCTGCAGACAGACGGTTAGACAAAGATGATTATCCAGTCTTTGGAGGATTTGCTAAGAGCTTGTGTTTTGGAACATGGAGGTAACTGGGATAGTTATTTATTGTTGATTGAGTTCACATAGAATAACATATTTCATTTGAGCATTGGAATAACACCGCTTGAGGCGATGTATAAAAGGAGGTGTAGGACTTCTTTATGTTAGTACTTAGAATGCATTTATAGCATGTTTGGAAAATGTATCATGCATTAAAAATGAGCTTTTACATGAAAAACATATCTATGTGTCGACACATACAATAGATGAGTTAACACATGTAGATAAATAATAAGGCTTGTAGCCTTTATAACTATGTGTCGACACATCCATCCTTTTAGGTCGACACATGCTGGAAATTTTCATCTATGTGTTAACAAATATGATCTTCATGTCAACATATATAACAACAAATCGAGTTGAGTCTACTCATGCTTGTTTGAAGAATTGGTTAGAAAATAGCAAGGGTGATTTGTGCGCAAATTGCGATTATGTTAACCAAATGATACAAAACCAACACAATGAGATACAAACATCATTTGATTGTAGTATCACAATGTTGGAACATAAGTTCAAAGATAACACTCTATATTCTCAGTTGGTCAGCAACATATCTCAATCAACTTTGAATTATATTTTCACAAAGCCAAACGAGATGATAATTTAGGTTTAGATAATTTAAAGCATAGTTGTACACTTGTGAGAACCTATGGTCTCCTATTCGTGTCATATCTAATAAGGTGAAACTTGATAGCCCGTTACGAATGGACGGAGTCTGCTGTCACTAGAAGAGACTCTGTTTTGATAATAACGGTGTTATATCTCCATCTTGACTAAATGTGAAGCGATACAAGAAAGATTTTTGAATGCTGATGACAACACAAAACTCTACATCAAAGAACAATTGAGGAAGACTGTATTTTTGAAGACCACAAACTTGAAACCATCCTCTCAATCGGTAAAAATAAAAGGAGCACATAGAAGGTCAAACATACACCTAGTGACAATTCAACAATGAGAAGTTCATCATATTTTGAATATATTGACAATTTTTTTCCGATTCACCGACTTTGAAAACTCATAAAAGTGTTTTTAAAGGAGCTCGCATAAGTAAACCACCTCCTACACCGCCTCCACCAAAAATCTCATTCATTGAGGAGATGCCAGTTTTTATGCATAATTACATCGAACAAATCGTCAATGTCAAGGGTGACAATAACTGATTTTCGGGATGTTTCTGCTTTACTCAATAAAGGAGAAGAGGATCACGCACTTGTCTGTCATATTCTTATCCAAAAGTTGAGGGGTAATAAAAAATTATACACACAAATGTTTGAGAATAAAGAGAAAGTTGAAGAAATTTATCACTCTCTTGTACCTTGCATTAATGGACCTGCATAAACGGACGCGCTTCCTTGAGACGTGTCATCTTATAGCAATGGGATAGTGTTTATTGATTTTACAAGATACAATTTTTCGAATTTTTTTTTCCCACTACGCAATGCTTCACTTCCAAATCTAAATGATCGTATCTGTGTTGAATGCGTTTCTAATCCAAGACATTTTATTTAAATTTATTTAAAACAAAAATACCCTATACCACTGAAATCAAAAACTTATTATATAACCAAAACGGAGTGCATTAAAAATTTGCCATGACATGAACTTTTTCTAGGGTTGAATCAAAATTACAAGTCATGGGGTGTTAAAAAATTATTATCCCGGCTAACTCTCCATATTTCCCAGTCATATCTGTGCTTGAAAGGCCTATTTTTTCCCACTATAAATACCCGGCAATAACAGTCAGGTCGAGATTCAGCTAGCGCTCGAAGCCGAGTCGCAAATCGGATCTTGCGATCTCGTCACAATCAGAATCAATCCAATTCCATTTTCCTGTGATTTCACCAAACCTTCACCATGGGAGACTTCAACAACGATCCTCTCATGCGCAACCAGAACGCCGCTGTTCAAGCTCGTACCAAAGCCCAGAATCGCGCCAACGTCCTTCAACTCAAGCTGGTACCTATCTCTAATATCTTACAGATTCATCACCTTTCACACACTTTTCGTGTTTTATTTGACCTAATTTTCTTCACATCAATTTAATCGTTATTATTGTTGTTGTTGTTTATTCATAATCGCTAGGGTTTGTTGTTCGAAACCCTAGATTGTAGATTTCGTAGCTGTTCTTTTGTTGATGATACAATTTTCCTGTGATTTGATGCAGATTGGACAGAGTCATCCAACTGGCCTCACTGCGAATTTGCTGAAGCTGTTTGAGCCTAGGCCTCCATTGGAATACAAACCACCTCCGGAGAAAAGAAAATGTCCGCCGTTAACAGGTATTTGATAATTGTATTAATTAGGTTTTCACATGATTTTGTTATTGATGATTACTGAATTGTATTCAATTTTGTATGTGTTTCTGTTTTTTTTGTCAAGGGATGGCTCAATTTGTCACCAAGTTTGCTGAGCCTGGCGAACCAGAATATTCTCCGCCTGTGCCAGTGGTTGAAACTCCTGTAATGTCAATTCTCTTAAGAAGATCAATTTTGTGGTGCTATTAATTTGACTGTGTTATGCATAGCTTTATTATTTTGTTTGGTTTTTTGCTTATGAAATTTCGGTGGAGGTTTGGTTTGATGCAATGCATTTTATGTTTTTGCTATAGTTTTTTTAGTGATATGGCTGAAGCAGTGTCTCCAGGTTTTTGTGATAGACATAGTTTCATATCACAGGCCTATTTATCTTATCCATGTTGTGTCTGATTGCCCTTTTGAAAAGGTCTTTGAGGAAACAATTACTTTAGTTATCATTTTGCAAAAACATAGTTGTGCTCAGAAGTGTATTTATGTTATCACTGGTTTCTGATGTTAGGTTTTACTTCATGTAGTTTTTTGCTATCTCAATGTTTAACTAACCAACTTTGATTCCTTGCCTGCCTGCTCTCTCGTATGGAATTAATTCGTTCTATGAAACTATTTGAATAAATATTCTGTGGTTATGAATAACTTTTAGCTTAGTTTGGATGCTCAATATATTAGTTGAATATAATTACTGTTGCTTATTACCAGGTTTCAGTTATTCTTCAATGTACTTAAATAAGTTATTATTATTATAATGTCTAGTGAACTGACGTAGCTGCTATACACTGAGTATCTAGTCTACTGCTTTGCATAGATTTAATGTGGCAATTGGCAAATAAAAGAAAGTTTAAGTTGCTTCAGTAGTGAATAGTATAATGCACATATTTGCTGATCCATTTTGGTGTTAGCAGGCAGAAAGAAGGGCCAGAGTGCACAAGTTAAGACTTGACAAAGGAGCTGCGAAAGCTGCTGAGGAGCTTGAGAAATGTGATGACTCATTTATATTGTTATAAGTTTGTTGATTTTCATGGATTTATGTTTCTCTGAATGTTGTTTCTCTATCTGCTTCAATGTAGATGATCCACAAAATGATCCAAATATATCAGGAGATCCATACAAGACTTTATTTGTGGCCAGACTTGTAAGTTATATTTTCCAATATAGTAAATCTGGTGCTTTTTCATATTGCTTGTCATATCTAATTGATTCCATCTTCTAACAGAGTTATGAGACTACTGAGAGCAGAATCAAAAGGGAGTTTGAGTCATATGGTGCAATCAAACGGGTAGGTATTTTGAATATGCTCAAAATGGTTCGGTAAGCATATTATCTATGAATGGTTGACAATTTATTCTATTTCACTTTTATGTGGCACCTTCACAACTTTTGAGCTGTCAAAATGTGTTTTTAAATTCAACAACCATATGCAGTAATGCATCATAAAAAACAAAAGACTTGCTTATTTTAAAATAATAATAAAGATCTTTATACCTTTTCTTTTGCTGCCGAAGAAACTGTTTCTTGTGACTTAAGCGGTTTTTATGACTAACTAGCTTATCAGGAAATCAGTCACTATGCAAAATATTTATCTAATCCTATCCAAAGTTTCAAGAATATAAAATATGAATGTTCCTAGTTTAATTTGTCATTTTTAGTGGCTTTGAAATGGTAACTACTGCATTTGTCAATTTGTTGGTGTTGACTTTTTGTTCTACTTTGCTACAATCCACTGTTAATATACATGGATGGATTTGAAATCTTTGGGCTTTGAGTCTCTAGGAGTTTTTAGTTGCAAGTTTAAAATCTTGATACACATCTCCAGTAAATGGTTTATTATCTCACAATATATCCTTGGTAATGGTTAATCATCTCAATATACATCCTCTGGTAATGGTTAATCATCTCGATATACATCCCCTGGTAATTGTTAATCATCTCGATATACATCCCCTGGTAATGGTTGATCCTCTTATTCTTCAACTGGTAAATGATTCTCATATCAATAAAACCCCAATTCCATACAAGTGCTTTTTCCTGCGTGACATTTTAGTTTGGCAGAGCAACGATGCAAAATTGTGCCTTTGGCCTTGTTTTTCGAGCAAGTAAAGGAGACTGACAACTTCTGTTCTTTTCATGCACTGGGTAAAATATGTTGGGAGTAATTCAATCTCTTCCTTTTTTTTCTTCTTAAATTCTTAGTTAGCCTACATTTGATGTTGCTAAAAATTTATTATTAGCTTTAGAGGCTATCAAAACCAAATCAGCCGTTGAGAAGATGTTATGGTATTTTCTGTATTACCCATAGTTGTTTTCATTTTATCAATTTTAAAAACAAATATCCCTGGTAAGGGGACGCTAGTCAACAACTGGTTAATTGGGCCCAAATACATCAGTTTTTCTGCAACTATTGCTGGTGGTGATGCATCTCATGATGGGAGCTGTGTGATTTAAAGGTGAGCACGGCTAATTAGGCATAGAGCCTGTCTGCCGTGCCATTTAGGATTATCGTCTTAGTCTTTTATTTTAGCTATATTTTATTGGTTCTGAAGTGAGACTGAGAGAAGGCATCTTGCGTTATTTTCAGTTAAGCTGATTACCAGAATGTTCTTTTCTAACTATTCTTCCCTTTTCCAATTTCTTATGATTTAGGTTCGACTGGTAACTGATACTGAGTCAAATAAGCCCAGGGGTTATGCATTCATTGAATACCTGCACACAAGAGACATGAAAGGTTGATCGTGGTTTTAGTAAGATTTATCTGGTCATTACTATATATATTTATGTATCATTTATTTATGTTTTTGTTAATTATGCAGCTGCTTATAAACAAGCTGATGGTAGGAAAATTGAGGGTAGAAGGGTGCTTGTGGATGTTGAACGTGGGAGGACTGTTCCAAATTGGCGACCCCGCCGTCTAGGTGGTGGGCTAGGTACTACTAGAGTGGGGGGCGAAGAAGTTAATCAGCGACATTCGGGGAGGTAAATAATTTTTATTTTATTTTATAGATTTCATTCTTGTTAGCACCCACACTTCAAATTGAAGGTGTTTGGTGTCCGACACCGACACAGCAGTGTTTGCATTCAGTTTATTCATTTCCTCAAATTGTTACTGGTTTATGATGTGTTGGTGTTGTGTTGTGTTTGTGTTTCATAGATTTCATAATTTGAAGTAGAGTTACAACTAAATTTGAAAACTGAAAACGTCAACTATTATGACCTTATTCTATGAATCGTCTATACTCGGAAGACATTGAATAATATAATCTTTCAAACCATCCACTATATTTTGCTTCCGCCTGCTATCTGCACTTTCATTTATTAAACTCTGATTTTATATAAGAAATCGTTTTTGAAAATGGTTTAAAGGGATTGATCTATTTAACTCTGCCCCATCTAGACCATTTAATTCTCATATTATCCCCCAACAATTGGCCTCAGAGTTGATCTCTTGATCAAGTCCTATGACATCAAAAGTTGAAGAATCTTGTTGTTTCATGATTATTCGTGAAACTGGCCCATTTATGACTTTATTCTATGATGTGTATATTTAGTGTTGCAAATGACTGATAATTTGCAACAATGAAATCCCCTCACCTGGGTGGTGGACCAAGCAATTGTATGGTTCTTCGATGTTTGGAATTCAGTCAACATTTCTAAAGTTTGCTGACCTTTGGAAAAATATTATGTTTTATCTGTTGGAAATATCTGGCACATACCTGGCTATATCTCTTCCCTCCCCCTCCACTCAAATTTCCATGCATTAAAATTGACTCGGAAATTGAAATATGTTTGTATCAAGATTTGTTTGCATTTAACTTTTTTGATTCATGATGGAATAGGTTTGCTCAACTTATGAGATGAAACCTGGATTAAATTGTCATATACTTAATATGTCTTGTTGAATGTTTTGTAATTTGTTGGGCGATTTCTCTGTACCATTGAAGGGAGATTCTGATTTGTCTTGATTATTCAGGGAGCAACAGCAGTCAGGACCTTCTCGTTCTGAAGAACCCAGAGTCCGAGATGATCGACATGTTGATCGGTAATAATTTGTGTCTACTTCAATTTTAACTTGTTTTTTGGTTTTTGTACTAACAGGATTACTGACCATTCTATGGCTTCTAGACAATAGAGGGGGAAGGCTAATGGTTTCCCAGCATTATATTTTATATTAGTATGGAATATTTTGAAACAAGTTTGACTTCTATTGGCCAAAATCATTTTAGGGACAGAGAAAAGTCACGCGAAAGAGGTAAGGACAGAGAACGTGAGCGATCGCGTGAACGATCTAGCGATAAGGCTAGGGATCGTGATCATAGAGAGGACAGGCACCACAGAGACAGAGACCGAGATAGGAATAGGGACAGAGACAGAGGTAAGGAAAGGGAAAGGGAAAGAGATCGTGGACGTGATCGAGAGAGAGGACGTGATCGTGGCCGGGAACGTGATCGTGACGTAGAACATGATCGTTATCGCGAAAAAGATAGGGATTATGAAGTTGGGGAAACTGACCGGGGACGGTCCCATGACAGGGGAACTGATTATGATCATGTTGAATCTAAACATGAGAAGGAACCTCATGTTGAAAGAGAGCGAGACTATGATGATCATCGTGGGCGGTACAATCAATCTGGACATGGACATAGGCATGTAGACCCTGAACATGACCCTGATCAGTATGACCATTATGAGCATCATAGAGGACGGGGGCAGTATGATGAAGGAGATGACCATGGTGATTACAGTCAACATCCTGATCCTGCTAAGATTGAAGATGGCCATCCCACTGAACGAGCAAAATCTAAATCACGTGACAGGGACAGAAACCGTGATACTGACCGTGATTATCATCGCTCAGAGAGGTCCCTTTCTCGAGAATATGATTACTAGAAACTTGAGCACAATACTTCTCATCTTCACTGGGTAAGATTCATGGTGTCCATTTTGGTATTCTGATTGGTTATTGTTATTCTGTCTTATATATTCTAAATTGTTTCTTAGTTGCTCTTAATGGATTCAGGCATGGAGTGATCAAAGCACAACAAAAGAACTTATTGCCCCACCATCTTTGTTTACTTGTTTTTCATGTTTGATGTTGAAAGCTCACGGCTGCAGCTTTGGTGATCTCAGATTCTCAGAGTATGGGCATGGACTGCTAATGTTGTTGGTTTTGTTTTCATAAATACATTTTAAGAAACAAGTTTTTTCTTCAGATTTTGCGGGAACTATTGCCTGGATCCTACTTTCATCTTTGGTCTATTGATCTTGCCTCGGAACTACATAAGTTTGCCAAGTGTTTCTTATGTATTACATTAGGTTACAAGACCCTTTATTAGATGTTTAGATGTTGAGAAATGAAGGTCTATCATCAATAAGTAATTGTTTTCTTAAACTGGGAAGTGATGTTGCAAAATAACTGACAGTTGCAAACTTGAGTTTTCAAAATTTCTCCTCACTTAATTATGTTGTTTTCAATTTTTACCTTGGCATTTCTACTTTAATTTGTTTTGAGATAGATTATAGTGGTATTCTTGCCCAAAAGCAAGTGCAAAATGTTCTGTCAATCTATAATCTATAACATGAATGTCAGGTTTCATTTTCTTCAATGTTTCTAATATTCCATTTAAATGGACCATTCCAGATCCATCTCTGTTACCTTATGTTCAGAGAAAACCAAGTGTTTTTGCCTCTAGAATGGTGCAAACATCTGGCTGGAATTGGTGTTTACATGCCTCTTTTGACAATAAAAAAGGCATTTACCAATTTAATGTTTCATATTATACTGGCTTATATCGAATTGCATTATTATGGAAGCATCAGATCCAGATTGCATGCTTCAAAAACATGTTTTGTTTTTAATGTAAATTGAAAATCGGGCATTTTGAATTATACAATAATAAAATCAAAATCAACCGTGAATAAAGGCATATACCAAATTAATGTTTCCTATTGGCTTATATTGAATTGCATTATTATGGAAGCATCAGACCCAGATTGCATGCTTCAAAAACATGTTCTTTTTTTCTTTCTTCTGTACATTGAAAATCAAATGGCCTAGACGAGATTTTTGGGTCACTGTTACATTGATTTAGGCCTTTGTTCTTTTAACTGCAGCTTGATTGGTTTTAAAATTAATGAAAAGTGATAACATCGTTGTGACGACACTCCATGCATCAAGCCTTGCAAACCCATTTTTGTTTTGTTGAGCAAAGTGAGTGACTAAACGGCAAAAGAAAAAGCGAACAAATGAAATTACCATGAAGTTTCAATGTGGTATTGGATTAGCAAGGACGTACGGTTATCACTTCAAATAGACGCTAGAACTTTTTAAGTTTGGTGTTTTAGTGCTTTACTTCCATGAAGCTTCCTAGAACCTTATGCTTGTTATTCGCGCAGAAGCTATTAGATTTGTTATAATTCATGAGCGTCCGCGTTGTGTCTATTCGCCATTTTCACATTCCATTACCATTTTATACTGGGGTGACAATTGAAATCATTAAAACAAAATCTACTCACCTAAAAATCCATCCAATCTATCAAACATATTTTGATGATCCAATAGATTATTTTTATATTTTAAATCTAATAAATCTATTTTTTTTTTAAATTAATAATTTTTTTTTCGAAAATAAAGAAAACAATGTTATCAGAATTTCAAAAAACTGAGTTTTTCCAAAAAATAAAAAAAATCGAGTTTTTTTCGAAAAATAAAAAAAACGATTTTTTTTTAATAGTATAAGTTTTTCAGAAAATCGAAAAAAATCAAAATTTTTCTTTGAAATATCGAGTTTTTTTTTAAAATTGAAAAATCGAATTTTTTTTTTGAAAATTGACTTTTTTTTTTAAAAGTCGAGTTTTTTCTTCTGGAAAATCGAGTTTTTCTCAAAAATAGAAAAATCGAGTGTTAGAAAAATTGATTTTTTTTTGAAAAATTAAAAAATTGAGTTACTTCGGAATATCGAAACGTTTTTTTTAGGAAAGTTGAAAAAAAAAAAATTTGAGTTTTTTCAGAAAATCAAAAATCGAGTTTTTTAGGAAAATAGAAAATTTGAGTTTTTCTAGAAAATCGAAAAATCTATTTTTTTAAAATAAAAAAATTCAAGTTTTTTCCGAAAACCGACGAATTGACGTTTTTTGAAAATTCAAAAAATCGAGTTTTTTAATAAATGCGAAAAAAATCGAGTTTTTTGGGAAAATCGAAAAAATTTAAAAATACATAAAAATCGATTTTTTAGAAAATAAAAAAAAAACGAATTTTTTCAAAAAATCAAAATATTGAATTTTTTTGAAAACACAAAAATATCAAATTTATTCAAAAATACAAAATATATATATTTTTAAATAAATAAATATATTTAAATTAAATTTTTTTTATGGAAATGTTGTTAATAGATAAATTGAATATATTTTATTTTTAATAGATAAATTGAATTGAATATTTTTAAGGAAGTTTTAATAAATTATTAATTAATTAATAAATTATTTTGATCTATCCATTAACAATCTAATCTATATTCTATCAATCCAACTATTTTACCACCCTTATTTTATACACTACTTTTAAGTGTGCATAGAAAAAAAATTAACTTTTATAAAATCATTATTTATTTAATAATATATTTAATTTGAATTTTATTTTTTTAATGTAAATTGGTACTATTAATAAGTACTATATGTTCTTAAATAATAAATATAGTTAGAAATTTGTTGAAAATTTTATATTAAAGAACAAATGGAAAATTTAAAAGTTCTTATAACTAAAGCGAGAACGGTGAGAAACTATGATTTAAGAGTTTAATTTTCATTTGTTAATAGAAAAATTATTGTCAACACATTACGATCATGTGAGATATTAAAAGTGGATTTTCGATAAAAACCTTCTAAGGGCATCCACATCCATCATATCCATTTGGGTTTTTTAAATGGGACTTACATAATTTTTTATATTATTTCACACTTCTCAATTTTTTAAACAACTTATCTACAATTCTCAAATATCCATGTAACTCATCAAAAAATTTAAAATTGGTCTCACATTTAAAACAAATCAACTACATTCTTTCAATTTTATTTATATAATTTATTAAAAACTTTAAAATAGGTTCCACTAAACCCCACAATATACCCCATAACCCATCTTTTCTTAACAATTTTTGAGAAAAAAATAAATAAAAAGACCAAATAAAATTTAAGTAGCGTGTTTTAGTATGAGAACGTGCTTTAGTTCAGGAACGTCAAAACAAATGAAATATCCATTTATTATTGATACAATTTCTTTAATAAATATGTAGGAACTCTCAAAAAACACCTATAATCATGCTCTAACTATCTAGCCCTTATATTAACAGTTTAACCATTTAATGAATCAACTTAAATAAATTTAATAGACTGTTACGAGATTAACATTTGACAACAACACTTATTTATATTTATGCATTAATATTGTTTATATTAATAAATTAATATATTTTAAAAAAAAATTATATTAAAAAAACAATGAATTTATACTGTTATTTTACAGTTTGTATCAATGGAATCTAATAATAAATTTAGGTAAAGAAAATGTTTACGGTTATTTACCTTAAAGCAATGTGACACTGTAGGTAGGGTCAAAGGCCTAGAGCCTCAAATATCAAAATGTCAAAAAAAGTGTTGCTAATGGTTTACCAGTACATGTACAATATTATTACTTCTTAGTATATACTATCTCGAAGAGAATCTTTTGAAATCAGTACCTGAAAGAGAAATAGAGAAAATGTGACTTTGCTATATAAAGAGAGAATGGTAGTAATACTTAGGAAAAAAAACTACCATTTAAAATAAGTTGAGTTAGAAAAACAATACAAAAACATTTGTTTATTCCAGTTTCTTAGTTACATTTTGCTTCAAACCGTTCTTCATACATGGCTTTACAAGTTAAAATGAAAACAACATCAAGAGCATCATCAACAATTATATGGCTAATCTCATGGAGCCTTATCATGACCTATCATGTCAGTTTAGCTGAAAGAATCTTGGAAGACAAAAAACCAGAAAATTTTGTTATGCAGAAGAGACTTTTCTCTTGGTATAGTGGAAAGTCTGCCTATGAACGTGTTTGGCCTGTGAGTTTATTATTATTATTATTATTATTATTGATTATCAAACAACATTCTGTTATGTTTTTTTTTTGTTGTTGTTATTGTTATGTTAGGAAATTGATGTATTGTAATGGTTTTGTTGAGCAGGAAATGAAGTTTGGTTGGAGAATTGTTGTTGGGTCTATTGTTGGATTTTTTGGAGCAGCATTGGGTAGTGTTGGAGGGGTAGGAGGTGGTGGAATTTTTGTACCTATGCTTACTTTGATCATTGGTTTTGATCCAAAGTCTTCTACAGCTATCTCTAAGTGTTAGTATATTTCTATATTCTCTTAGTTCTTTCATCCTAATCGTAATCACAAGTGTTGTGTTGTTGGCTGACACAGACGCACATTTTTTCCAGAGGGATCGGTGCTATTGAGTTTGAAATTGTCTTTGTTGCAGGTATGATTACAGGAGCAGCAGGATCAACTGTGTATTACAATCTGAGACTCAGACACCCATCACTAGACATGCCACTTATAGATTATGATCTGGCTTTGCTCTTCCAACCTATGTTAATGCTAGGAATTAGCATTGGTGTTGCATTTAATGTCATGTTTGCTGATTGGATGGTTACTGTTTTGCTTATCATTCTATTCATTGGTAATCATTATTTGCTTAGCATAAACATAATACTATAAAATTCGCAATATCAATCTCTAAATCCAGGGCCATTAGCTTTTTGGTGGCCCTGTATAGAAGAAACATAGTTCAACCGTGCCAAAATAAATAAGGGTCTTATTTTATCACAGTTTAATCGTAACAAATATTTAGGCTCTATTTAGTCATTGGAAATTTTATGCCCCGCTCATGTTGCACCACATGGTGATAGGTACATCCACTAAAGCTTTAATCAAAGGCATCAATACATGGAAACAGGAAACAATCATGAAGAAGGTAAAATTTGTTTTGTTACAATTCTTCTGATTTGAGTCTCCTTTATCTTCTACTTTATAATAAGAGTATATACTATGCTACTGAACTTTCAGGAAGCAGCCAAGATGTTGGAATCAGGTTTTACTCCTGATTGTAAGTTCTTCTATTTAGTAAAGGTTTAATCTTGACAAATTTTTAACTCTGTGCGACAGTTCGCCTTGCACGGCCTCAAAGACGGCCGGCTCTGGTTGAAACACTAATTCACTAATTACCTCTTCTTTCAGATGCTTCTGAAGAAGACTACACTTCACTACCAGCTGATCTACAAGATGAAGAGGTAATTCCAATGGTTTTTCAAATGATTCTTTATAGAAAATTCGTCGAAGTTTTATCTAACATGTTAAATTCTTCTGCGCAGGTTCCTTTACTAGACAACATTTATTGGAAAGAATTATCAGTCCTTGTCTATGTTTGGGTGGCTTTTCTCATTGTTCAGATTATTAAGGTAGAATTAAACTATTATATTTGTTTTTTCCCTCTGATTAAATAGTTATAACTTCATATACACCTTTTATGTATTTCTTTGCAGACATATAGCAAAACTTGTTCCATAGAGTACTGGATTCTTAATTCTTTGCAGGTAAACATTCTTAATATACATTTGGACTTATCAGTCGAACGTTTTAATGTTCAGACGATTATGATTGATTGATAGTGTAGAAAAATGTTTATGTTTCTACGTATTGTGTATATGAATTGTATCGTAAAAAAATATATTAGTTTTGAATTCGAAATACCTATTTTGATTGGAGCTAACATAAAACCATTTCCTTGCAAGGTCTAACTGAAATTTGGTGTGCTATTTATTATCACTTTAAGGTGCCTATTGCAATTTCTGTTACACTTTATGAAGCCATATGCTTAAGCAAAGGAACTAGAGTGATTGCATCAAAGGGAAAAGAAGTCACACATTGGAAGTTTCATAAGATTTGTCTTTATTGTTTCTGTGGAATCATTGCCGGTATGGTTAGTGGATTGCTTGGTCTAGGAGGTGGCTTCATTTTGGGACCATTGTTTTTGGAATTGGGAATTCCTCCTCAGGTACAAAAAATCGAACTGAATAAACCAAACTAGTGCTACATCAACATTTGCTATATATATATATATAGTCTTGATGAATATTTTAATGTGGCAGGTGGCTAGTGCTACATCAACATTTGCTATGGTTTTCTCTTCTTCCATGTCAGTGGTACAATATTATCTCCTAGATAGCTTTCCGGTACCCTATGGTAAGACACAATAAGCAATTGTAAATGTAATGTTGGATGGACATGTTTTTGTAACATTGATTTGGTTAAAATTGTGTTTGAAGTAAAGTGATTTATGTTTGAATTCAGCTTCATACTTAGTTTTGGTTGCGACCATAGCTGCATTAACCGGCCAATATGTGGTGAGAAAGATAATTGCTATCTTTGGTAGAGCATCTATCATCGTCTTCATATTAGCTTTCACAATTTTTCTGAGCGCAATCGGTTTAGGTACATTCTATTTTTTTGATAGCACTTATTTTTGAACATTTATCTTTAACCATAAAATAAGGTGAAAAAAGTGTGTGAATATTATCCTTATTTTTACTGATTTTTTTTGGTGATTAGTACTAACAATGTCTCCTTTTAACAGGTGGGGTGGGAATAGGAAACATGGTTGAGAAGATGGAAAATGAAGATTATATGGGATTTTACAATATCTGCCACCACAAATCTTAGGATGGAAAAGTATATAGGGTTTGACAAAATAGTCACCAATTTGTCAGTTTTATACTTTTATTTAAGTAAAGAAAATATCTCTGTTTTTTCTTTTCTTTCTAAATGTTGTTGTATTTGTTGCAGAAGTCTGTATTTTTCGACAAAAATGACTGGATTATATTCTTTGCCATCTAAATATTGTTATTGTGAGGTTTTATATTTGGTTTCTAAAGAATTTTCATTTTATCAAAAGTGAACAAATATCTATGAAGTACTGTATACTGGAAATGTCAAGCAACATGTATTCCACCTGTCACTATGTATATACCATTGATGATCCTGGTTTCAAGTACAATATATAATACCCCTAATCTTAATCTTATTAGTATATATTTAATTCAGTTTTAGAAGTTAGATATAAATGTTACTCTAGATGTGGTTATTAACTAAAAATTACTTAGTTAGTAATATGTGTAACACATGCTTGTCATATACTCAATTTCATTCTAATAATATTTCTCTCTCAATTTCTCTTTATTCATTTTTATTTATTTTAATTTGGAAATAACTTGTAATTCAAGTTATTTAACTAATTGGTATCTAGAGTACCACTCGGATTCAATTTCCATTTATAGGAAATGAGAGTACAACCTCCAATCGTTCAGAGCAAATATATCAGATTTCAAAGGTGAAAACTATATACTTTACAAGAAAATCCTTATGCTTTTATAATGTATATTCACTCAGACGTATCGGAGCGAGCTTTCATATACTTCAAGACTTGTCAGATACTTCTAATCTTGTAGACACTTGCTTGATCTTTATTTTGAGATGAAGCTTGGGTTATATTCTATTAAGTGTCATCATAAGAGAATCAAGTTTATCAAACCTTATTGATTTGTTTGCATTTTTAATTGCTTTACGCTTGACTTTAGTTGTTATCAACAAGGACTAGTTGTCATCATGAAAAGCATGTTCTTGTTTAAGCGGGTTTCCTTGACCAATAACCTACAAAACAATGTTTCGCATTTTTTCCTTTTTAATGATGATAACACATCTCTCTGGGAGGTGATAAAAGAAATAACACATGTTTGTTTGGAGTAATTAACCTCCCACTCAATTAAGTAGAGAGTATACTCAACTCATTTGAGAGTATACTTCTCCTCCTTTGTCGAAATAAAAAATCTGGGTCAGATGCATTGCGATAAGATAAATATGCAAATATGTTGGCAAGTAAACATTTAGGAAAAGAAAAACATCACTCTTTTTATTAATTGAAATTGCGAGAAATTTAAAGTACAAAAGGGAAATTACGTAATTGAAATAGTACAGAAAACATGAAATAAAACAAAAAATTGAATAGTCTAAAACACATACATGAGATAATTCATTTCCATAAACATCATCACCCTTTGTGGCTAGTTTCTCGATCCTCTCCATATCCTTGACTAAATTATGATATATTTTCAATACTTTATCGATCTTGGTGTTTTCTACCTCTCTAAGCTCTTCTTCTCCGTCCTTTATTATTGCGTCATCTTGTATTTCTCCATGTTTAACGAGAACTTATATTTTTCTAAGAGCAGTGTAGGTGATTTTATGGTTAATTGAGTCTTCAGCTTCATCCATGGTATCAATATTGAAGGTCTCTAAGAGCTTGGTGATCATTGACTCATAAGGGAGTTATGTTGACTAGATCTCTTTGGAGCAGATCAAGTGGTTAAAGATTCCTTCTATCTAATTTGTTGCAATATCTTAGGTTAATAACCATAGGGATACAACATCTTCTCTAATAACATAGCTATGGTTCATATTCCTTGGAAAGAGAATCCTAGTTAAAAGATAGTGAATGGTCTTAACCTTTGATTTTAAGTGGATGGATTTGAACGTGACTTTCATTTTCTCCATATGATTCATAACTAGGTTTTTTAAGGTCGTGGAGTGTTTGAAGTTTCTAAATCCTAGGGGTCTATCATGGATGTAGGATTTTCATACAAAGGGTAGTTCGAAGATTCTTCCAAAATTATCCTTGTAAATATCTATTTTTACTCCCTTTATCGATGTTCTTAGTTAGGTTCCTATAAGTCTTAGGTTTAAATAGAATTCTCTTACAAGATTTGAGAAAGATCTATCTGGTACTTGCATGAAGAAATCTTTTAGAGATGCATGAAAATTTTGATGATGTGGTTTGTAACTTTTTAAGAGACGTGACTTCATGTATCAAGGTTGAATTACCTTCTTCTGTAGGATCATCATCTTCTCTTCTTTCTTTCTATTTATCAATCTAGTGGCGAACACATCCCTTCTTGGTGCTTCTCAAGGTTTTTGCCTTGAGTAGGCCATGATGATGATGATGCTTACAACAACAAAACTCAAGAAAGATGCCAGAAGAGATGATTTTTGAGATGCAAGAAATAATGAGAGAACATACCTATTTATAGTGCGTCTTTTGACACTTTGATCATGTATTTCTGGCAAGAAATCAATGAAAATTGTGCTGGTTGAAAATCAAATCAAAATTATTCCAAATTGAGTGAGTCAATCATTGGCTAATGGCTCCAATTGATTGGTTAATCAAATCTTTATGTATTTTGAGCGTTCATCATCAATGCTAATATTTGATTGCATTTGAGCACATATTTAGCTTGAATATGATGTGAAAATATGGGTGCTAAGCTTCTCCAATCAATTTCTATAAAGTGTCAATCGATTGGGCGTCAAGCAACCTCCTTGGTGCATTTTGGATCTTGTGTTGGATTTATTACTTTTCTGCACCCCTGTTCAACCTTATTTGCATCCATTTTCTATAAAATACTAAGAAACTCGTCTTTTTGGCTAGTAATCATAATTTATCGAAATAAGAAAATTTTAAAATCACTATTTTAAAGGATTAATCAGAGTTTCTAATCATTTTAACCTTAAATTATCAAAAGGATTTAATAAAAAATACCCTTAAAAGGAACATCAATTATATTATGGTGTGTCCTTCAATACATATCATTGGATGCGAGAGTTAGTATAAACAACGAGATGGATAATTCCATCATAGGCATATCGAGTCAACCTACTATAAGGTTAAATGATCACTAAGGATCATAAACATAGAGAGATTCTCGAAAACTAATGATCATTTTCGTTGATATTCACTATCATTGTACATTCTTGGATCAAAGAATTATTGTATACTCAAGTGAACTCCTCTTGCTTTGCATAGCTCCATTATTTGTCATTAAAACCTTGAGCTGCAAAGCATATATGCAAAATATTAAGGTTTCACATTTTGTACCTAAATTTTCTATGTTCCAGTTGCATTAGTTTTTCCATAAGGTCTAGGGTTAGCTTCTTTAGACCTTTTCAATTTATCAAAATAAAAAGACTCTAAATGGTTAAATATTTTGCAGTGTGTGCATTTATAAACTGGATGATATTTTTTCTTGTGATCTACACCTTTACTAGGTTTTCTATCCTTTTTGAATCTCAGTCTATTCTTATTTAATGAAGACCTTTGACATGATATGATCAAGTCAATCTTTTCTTTCCCTTGGATAAACTTATCTAGGGTTTCATGCAAATCAATTACTTACTTTTTAGGGGGATACAAGTCTCACAAGTTTCTCTTGATTTTCTAATTTTAGTTATTTCTAACTTAAACGAATTATTTCTCTCTTCAAGAGATTTTAAATACTCCTTAAGATCTAAGTTGCATTTTCTAATTTTATCATTCTCTTCAACCAACCTAGGGCTAGTTCTAACAATTTCTTGTAAGATGGTTACCTCAACATCACTTTCCTCATAGGATTCCTTTAAGAAAACTTCATCTTCTTTGCTGGAAGTTGGTTCTTCTTTATTTCTCCCATAGCTTGATGTATCTCCTCCTTTTATTCTTTCAAAGATTTCACTAGAGGATACTTTTTCTTCATAGTTTCTTACACATATTGTTCCTTCGTTTGAATCTTCTAAAGATCATTCAACTATTAAGTATGTTCTTTTGAAGGAAACTATTAGAGTTGCTTGATTGGAGTTTAATGAAGTTGGGGATTCTTACATTTTTAAGCTCGCTCCTTCATCTTTAAGTATTTGACCTAGCTAGTTCATTCAATTTCTGTAAGATTTCCCTTTTTCTTGATTTTTTCTGAAATTTGTAAAGGCTTCCGTCTCTTAATTTAATATTGGATTAAGATTTCAATTCTTAATTCTTAGACATTGGTTAGCAACAGATTTTCCAATATAATTTCATATTTTGAAAATTTGAAAAGAATTTAAAACTGATATCTTTATCTTCTTTACCTCGTATGTTCATCTCCTCTTGCTCGATACTTGGAGAAACTTCATATATCATTTGTTGGAACAAAATCAGTTTATACCGTATCCCTTAGATTTTGATGATAACAAAATATTTAAAGAACAATTGGGTAGACTAATGTGTGTTCAAGTGTGCAGGTACTAAGATTAATATTTTGATTGGAAGTTAGTTCTGATATTGCACTGAACATATAAAGTGAAGCTCTAAATATGTAGATTCTAAAGACCAGACTCTAAATAATTAACTTCTGGTTAAGTCATCTTCTGATGATCAGAACCTGAAGATTCCAGAATTTGATCAAGTAAACTTCTAAAGATCAAGTGGACCTATGAATAATCAATTTTTGAAGGACCATAAGCTAAGACTCTCACTCTGAAGGATCAGAATCTGAAGCCAATCAAATCTCAATACCCAAGGAGTTTCTGACATATCACTATCAGACTCTAAGGTTAATTTGTCTTCTTCTGGTCACACAAAGACTTAGCAAAATTTTGTAGAAGGATGAAGGATTGCAAATGATAATTCCTTTTGTAGCAAAGGAGTTTCAAATGGTATTGAAACAACATTAACCATACCAGGAAGGTCTCCAACATCTCTATGATGCTTTTCTGAAAGACTCTATTGTGAAAGCTCTCCAACGACTTTTTTCCTTCTTTATATAAGGAGCTGGAGATTTGAAAAGTGTAACAACATTGCGCCTTGACAAATAAAGATCACA